TATGCAGCAGACCCCTCTCTTTGAGCCCTTGTTCCCCAAATTGCAGGCTCAAAGAATGGAGTTCATTTTTCTGAAAGCAGATCCACATGGGGGCCTGCTCAGTGCCCTGCATTATACTGGGCAGCAGGGAGCACTATGCGGAAAGTCCCTCTGAAGTGTGTTTAACAAAAAACAATTGAAAGGCTTGGGAGCAAGAGACCCAAGGGAGCCTTACTAAATGCTGATACAGTATTGAAAGGAATAAGGATGCCATGGGTGAGGCCTGGTCCCCATCTCTGTAAAGACCTGCGTCCTCCAGGGAGCCAGGCTGCCTCACACTTCGTGTTTCTGGTCACCCGGGCCAGCACAGACACATCAGCCCCAGGGGCCAGCAGACCAGTTCAGGCCTCACACTGTGCCCCGGAGTGGGAGCCCATAGAGCAAAGGCAACAAAACCAGTGAAAGGGGAGTAAAATCCAGTCAAGGCTGCTAGAAAGCCGACTTTAGTAGTGAGAGCTTGAGGGCACAGGGGCCTCTGTGGTAACTTCAAGCCACTCCCATCCCCAGCTTAACCTGGATTAATCTTCCCTAAAACTCCTAAACTCCAGGAATGCAGAGGCTTCGGCTTCTCCTCTAACACAGCTCTCTCTCACTTCCAGTTTTCAGGGGCTGCCATTCCCTCTCCTTCTGTAGGGTGAGCTCCAAAGCCCAGCTCCACACCATCCCCTAATTCACTCTCAGGGGCCTCCTGGCAGGGCCTTCCTTCTGGAAGCCCTTGCCTATCCTGAGCCTAGGTCAGTCCCCTTGTTCAACTTGATAGGGTATGGTTATCATGTAACTCTCCTTTCCCAAAAACAAAATAGCCAGGCATAGCCACACATACCTATAACCCCAGCACTCTGGAGGCTGAGGTAAGAGAATCGCAGTGAGCTACATAGTGAAACCCTGTGCCAAAAAAAAAAAAAGAAAGAAAGAAAGAAAGAAAGAAAGAAAGAAAGAAAGAAAGAAAGAAAGAAAGAAAAGAAAAGAAAAGAAAATAGAATAAACCTTTCGGACACCAGGCTGTTTATGCCTCTGCTCACAGTTATTCCAGCATGCTACCCCCAGTGCTCCTGGATACTGATTAGACAGGGATGAAATCAGGGAGAAATACAATCAGGGAGGGCCCTATCTACACGTTAACCCAAGTAACCACAAATCCCAGCCCAAGCCAACATTACTCAGCAGTTGCTCCATCTGTCCGGTTGTGTTTGCAAGGGTCACAGACTGCATCAAAGGGTGAGCTGCCAACCCCTATTTAGCAACCTGCATGAAGCAACAGTTTTGTTCCAGCCTGACAGAAACTTTGTGTTGCAGAAGATAGTACAGGAGGGAGCCTCAGAACAACTGGGTGCGTGAAATGGCAAAGATCAAAAATTGGATCTGATTTTGTGAAACTGCTCTGCCAGTTACTGGTTCAGTGACATCCCTAAACAGTTGTCTAAACATACTGTTTGAGGGCTGGTGAGATGGCTCTGTGGTCTAAAGCATCTACTTAGAACAAGCTTAGCAAAGCACAGCGACCACGGTTCAATCCCCCAGCACCACATGCCAGCCAGCCCCGCCCCCTGGTGGGCTGAGCTGGCCACACACACACACACAAATAAATAACCCCAAATAGCATCGAGAAAAACAGCAGTTCAGACTGGGAAGTTCGATATACTTGGGCTCAAATGAGGCTGTGCCACTCATTACCTCCGTCACCTTGGGCGGTTGACTCCACTGGGTCTCACCCTCCTAACTTATTAATAGGAGTAACACCCATCTCAGACAGATAGATATTAAGGCATATATGTGTGAAGCATCTTGAATTGTTGATGTTTATAAAAGTGAACTGTTTAAGACTCACTTGCAGCACTTTCACAGAAGGCTCGGTTGTGCGCGGCTCCATGACATCCATTTCAGCTTCTGGAAGTCACTGGCCAAATGCCGAGTTCTATTATGGAATGTAAAGGATACAGATTGACAGCACCTGAGAACTTGGGACTCCAGACACCAGGAGAAGCACAGGTCACAGGCTGCTTGTCAGAAAAGTTGGGGGTCAAAGCTAGAAGAGAAAGTACTCTGAATCTCTGTCAGAGGGGCCACGATCCACCCAGGTAGTATTACAGGTGTTTCCATGCTAGGTTCAGAAAGATAAGAGCCAGGAACAGATACAAAGGAGAAAAGTGGGGCAGAGCCAGAAGAGGGAGAACTCCCATCTGGCTGGGAAAAGGAGGAAGAGCAACAGAAAATGGTGGGGTTAGAGTAGAGGGCCTGACTCTTCCGTCTTTTCATCTGCCAAAACAGCACAGATGAGAACTGCGACAGCCCGATCATGCCTGCCAAAGCACCAGCACAGCTCCTTTCTTGATACCATCTACACGGTGGGGGCCATCTGTTCTACAGTGCTGCCACTCTTCCCTTTGTGAGCTAGTGAGCAGAAGGGGGAGATGGCCCCATCCCCCATCAACCATTTCCCCAAATGCAGTTAAGCTGCGGTCTGGAATTCGCATCTGACCAGGAGCCAGTCAGCATCACCTGATGGTTTTAAAAAGCCAGAGAAGGTAGACAGATGTTGATACAATGTTCTAGCAGCTTCCTCTGCCTGGATCATGGGCCAAATATGCTGATAAAGAATGTGCCTAGCTCTCCTAAGACCTGCACTTGTATGGGAAGGAGGAAAAAGCAAAGCCAGAATTGCCTGCTTGGATAGAGGCGTTTGCAGTGCCAAAGTGCTGGGAGATCAGAAGACAGAAGAAAACTCTGCCGTCTGACAGATGTGCCCTAACGGAGAAAAATAAAGGTGAAACATGAGCATGAAGAACACGGCACAGCACATCCTTCCATCAGTCAGCCCTGTTGACTGCTGGCGCCTGTGGTGCAGTCTTTGTGAGTGGATCAAAGGCCAGTGCGCCAAGAAACGTGGAAGGCAAGTTGCAGGTCTCCCTCAACCAGTCCCAGCAGCGCTCCCACTCCCGTAAGAGGCGGCTGAATACCCCAGCCCCTGGGCCTCAGAAACAGCCTGGCGCAGCTGTGGTGTGCTTCTGCTTGCGACCTGCAGGCATCTTTCCTTTGTTCTAGCACTGTGCTCATCATACAAGTCCTGGGCTTCAGCTTTCCTACCCAGGGACTGGAATTGCAATGACTAACTACAAGGCCATGGTGTGTCATAAAGTGCCCGGAATGTAACAAGCCTTGCCTACCAGATACATACAGCTCCCATGTGTGCTTTCCAGAAGCTGTCTTTGACCGGTGTGATGGTACATGCCTGGAACCCCACCTACTCAAGAGGCTGAGGCACAGGATCACAAATTCAAGTCCAGCCTGGGTAACTTAACAAAAGCCCATTTCAAGTTAAAGTACAAAGAGCTGGGGGTGTAACTCAGTGGCAGAATGCTTGTCTAACATGCATGAGTTCCTGAGTTTCTCCAGCTTCAGCACAGAAGAAAAAACAAAGCTGTGTGCTTCCATCAGAGTGGGAGTGGCTATTCAGGAAAAGGTCAGTTTCTATACTTGCAACAGGGAATATGCAGGCAACTGTAATCTTGCCCAAAGAACAATTAAGGAAACATGTTTAGAAACAGGATAGAGGGGAAAGAATCACACCACATTCATAAAATGCATAGTTATAAGCTCGACGCTGCAGCCAAGCATATGGATGCTAAAATACCTTGGCTACATTACTTCACATCCTGGGGCTGGGGCTTTAACCTTTGCCTCAAATCCAGTGAAAATGACTGAGGATTAAATTGGTTGGTGACAATAAGTTCTTAGAATATCAGTTGCCATATAAAGTGACCGCTGGGAATGGTAGGTCTTATTCAGTGACCATTCTCAGCTCCTGCTCATCTCCTGGCCTCTCTCAGTCAGGTTCAGCCCTGTGACCCACAGTGGTCCATGGGCTGAGAAAAAGTGTCACGTGTCCTCTCAGCCCTGAAGCAGAGCAGGTGCATGTTGCCAGCTTTTTCTTCCTGTATCTACAGTCATGGAAAGCATGAGATGAGGCGGCAGAGCCAGAAACTGGAAGCAGCCTGAACCACAGCCACCACACTGGGAACAGCTGCACTAAAATCACCCATCTTGTACCGAGCTGTGCAAGAAACCAACATTTATTTCACAAACAGGAAACATTTGTTGAGCACCTAGAATGTTCCAGGCACCGTATGTAGTGAGTGCTTTGATCTATTTTTAATAATTTCTTTCTCACTGCTGTAAGAACAGTAGTTCTAACCTGGGGATACTATACACACCTGAAGGATGTAACACCATGTCCCCTGGCATTTCTTGGGTGTCTTGGCTGAAGGGCTCCTACTGGTATGTTCTAAGAGACTAGAGAGACACCGCTAGTGTCCTTAAATATACCAGAACAAAAGCCCTCTTGAGGTCCAAGGTCTTCTCAGAGCTTACCATCGCATTTCTTCTACTTCCAGTTATACCCTTAAAGGGTAAGTATACACGTACCCTTTCAGTCCTTTTGTGCTCTAGTGGAATTAAGCCGCAGATGCTCTTCTGCATCACGTCTTGACTTTATTCTGACAGAACCAATACAACTGCCTCACTTGTCTCTGGTGGTCTTAGCCTTATAGGCCCTGTAGTCTCAGGACAGACTGATGAAGTCCCTGCTGTTAGAATTCCCTTGCCCCACCCCAAGACCCAGGAGAGACATGTGCACCCACCAGCTAGCCAAGAGCAACCAGGCTTGAGATGTAAGGGACCCCCTCACCTGTGCCCTCCCACTCTAGGATCTCACCTCAGGACGCCCTCATCCAATTCCCTCCCTGGAAGCAATGACACGTTATCACCTGCCCCATCAGCTACTACTCAGGCCTCCTCTCCACATTACCAAGCTCTTTTACTTCTCAGATCTTTGTCTTCCAAAGGCATGTTGATCACCTAAAATACTCCCACTGGCTTCAGAGAGCTGCCTGGCCCAGGCAAGCCGTCCCACATGCACAACCCTGGTCATCCACAGGAAGCATACTGGGATCAACAAGGCTACAAGTAATTATACTAGCTGGGAACAATGCCGCACAACTGTGATCCCAGCTACTCGGGAAACAGGAGGACCACAAGATGAAGGCCAGCCTGGGCCAGTTTAGCGAATACCTGTCTCAAAATGCAAATAAAAGGTTGAGAAGTGGATCCATGGCAAAGCATCCGGCTGGCATTACTAGGCTTTGGGTTGCATTCTCAGTAGTTTTTAAAAAGGTGGCTCTAAACCAATGAAGATGTTGCTTCATGTTCCTCTAGTTGGGGACATTTGTATGGGCAGTGTGGAAAGCTTAGGTACATTAACCCTTAGCAATACTAGGCAGAAACCCTGAGCAAGACTGAGCAGACCAGAACAGGCAAGCAGGGAGATGTTCTAGACTCCCAGCCAAAACATCAAAATAAGCAGCCAGGAGAGGTGGCACACACCTGTGATACCAGCACTCTGGGACACTGAGGCAGAAGGATCGCATTTGAGCCCAACCTGGGCAACTTATTAACCTTATCAGATTCTGTCTCAAAATAAAAA